ATGTACACAATACAGTTACAATAACAATGCATTACCGGCAGGGAAACAGTGGCTTGTGGATCAGATCTGGCCTTTCTGATTTTATTGGATTTGTTGCTGTATGTACCAGATTTAGTTTTATATCAAAAGTACTTTAGTAAACAGTGTAGTAAAGTAAAGACAGAATGAAGTTTAAGCCTCTTATAAATAAACAAAAAATAGGTTTTGTGTTTGACTCATTTGTTGCAGATGCATTTTATCTGTATTTTTAAGATTCAACATTATTTATTTATTTAAAGCATAGAAGCTTAAACTTAATTCTGTCTTTACTTCACTACACTATTTACCAAAGTATCTACAGTATATCTGTATCTACAGTTTATACAGTATTAATAATAAGTGGATGAGTTTCACTGGTGGTCTAGTGTTTAGGATTTAGGCAGGCACATGCACAGGGTTTGTGTGGCAGAAGAGGATGCAAGAGATAGGATGAGATGCAGGAAGACGATGTGTGGTGGTGATGACTAAATGGGGCAGCTGATACAAGAATATTCACACATTCTATGGGTGAATCAGAAAAACTCAGATATCTGTGATTTGGTGCAAATAAAATGGTAGAATTTCACTCACCAAAATCTTTACCTCACAGCAAGTGATTTTATTTGTCAGATAACGGCATATAATCCCCCAAATGGGACTAACAAGGTCAAGATGTTCATACTTTTGTGTTATTGCCTGGTGATTATCTTCATGCATCGTTTTTTAAATCAGACTAACCTCTCTAAGGACACTTCCAGCTTTTCCTGGTAAATCTCACACACAGCATTCTTGGTTTTAATCAACAGCCTGATCGTGTCCTGCACTGACCTTCTCAGTCACCTGCTTATCTCAGTAATACAGAAACATCATTGTCCTAACTGTTCACATAGAGCTAAATTTTGCTGCTGAGCAGACATTGTGAGTGAAGGTCTTGTCATCAGTGCACCAGAGATGCAAGGATCAGAGGTAGTGACAGTAGAAGAGTTTAAATACCTGGTGTCAACCATCCAAAGCAATGAACTGTGCAGAGAAGAGTGGAAGAAGAGAGTGCAACAGAAAGATTGAAAGGGGAGGTTTATAGGATGATAAGAGGCCTGATATTATGTATGCTTTGAAGGTGAAGGTGCTAAGATTTTTGCTGCAAGTTACTTGAATAATCCGGATTAGAAATAAGTTTATCAGAGGGATACCTCAGATGGACATTTAGAGGAGGGGTAGTGGGTATATTGGACAAAAGTGGGAAAAGAAAGACCACAGTGAAGATTCAGGTTTTCCTTTAATTTGTCACATGTGTGAACTACATACTCTGTCCGCTAGAGGGCACTAACAAGACATCCATTAGCCGTTAATTGCAGGTTTAGATATCCAATTACTAAGCTACCTGCTAAACTCTCTGAATTCCATAAACAGGTCCTTCTTTATTGGAAAATGCTATTTAAACATAATTTTACTCCACATAATAGCCAAATTTGGAACAATAGATATATACTGATGAACAGAAAATCTATTTTTATTCAAGATTGGTTATCAAAAGGTGTTTGGGCAATTGCCCATTTTGTAGATGAGGAAGGACATGTTCTAGGACATCAAGATTTTTGCCAAAAGTTTAATATCCAATGTTCTAAAAGTAAATTTAATCGGGTTATAAAATCCATTCCATTGTCACTTAAAAACATAGTTGTAAATGATATAATATATTCTGACATCTCCCCCAAGTTAAGGCAATTATATATAGATGGTATTCGATTTTGTGATGTTAAATGCAACAATAAGTTTCTTAGATCTTCATTAAGGAGTCTTTATTCTCCAAATTTACTTAGACGTAATTACATATTAAAAGATTTCCAAAGGGAAGAAATTGAAAAAATAAGAACTGATTATATCACCTTCCCTATCCCTCCTAAAGGGAAAGAAGTCCAATTTAAAATCTTGAATAAAATTTACCCGACAAATAGACTCCTTAGTGATAGATTCAAAATAGAAACGGGTAATTGTGTATTTTGTGAAACAGAAGAGGAGGATTTGGACCATCTATTCTTTTTGTGCAATTTTATACAAATATTTTGGTTGGATTTTCATACCTGGCTTTATTCCAGTGGGATTCAAATTACCCCATTTACCTTAAATATGATAATGTTTGGAGTGTTTTTGAAAGAAAAGAAAGCTAATTATGGTGTTAATGTGTTATTAATCTTGTGCAAGCATTTTATACATAAATGTCGCTTTTTTAAGACTAGACCAACAGTAGCTCACTGGAAAAACGACTTAAACCTGTTGGTTAAATCTTTGACTTTAGTTAAAAAGAAAAAGGCTGCTTTTTTGTTTCCTTTATGGAAGATTTTGATTTAGTGAGTTAATAATTTGTTAAATTATGTGACCCCATCTTTATATTTTATTTTCACTATATATGAAAGTTGCTAATATGTAAGAAATGTCTATTTTCTGAATCTGTAATATATGGTGCATTTTGTTTGTATGTTTATATTACTAATAAAAAATAAAAAAAATAAAAAAAAAGATATCCAATTACTTGGTTTCGTTCTAATTTCAGTTTTTAAATAAAAACAATACAGTAAATTACTCAGAAACTGAGAAAACGGGAGGGTCGGGAGTGATGAATATGATGAATAATAATAGTGCGACTGACTGAAAGGGAGATAAAAAAAAAGTGAAGACAAAAATAAGAGAAGGAAATTAGCAGCTCTCAATAATAAAACTACACTGGTTTTACGTATAATTACCAAATTCTAAAATGAGTCCAAATTCTTTGTTTTGCAACAATTAAATGTGAAAACATTGGCGTGAAATGGCATAATTTTAATCAGGCATATATCGTGGCAACGCCCAACCGGGGGCCTCGGTGTAGACATCGCCGCGGTGCATCCTGGTTCCTTCCTTTCCATCCCAGGCTCGCTCAGCAATCATGGGTACGTCTGAAAGTTAATCTCAAATACCCCAAAAATGTGACTTCTGTGGGGGGTTTTCACAACAGTGCCGCATATAAAGGTCTTACGAACAGATTTAAACTCGTTTGTGTCGGTAAAACTCTGCAGATTATTTAAAAAATCCGTTTTTATGCTTCTTTGAAACCGCAACGTGGAGCGGCCATAACATGTCTGAGCTGCTAGCGGCGTGTTAGCGGCATTAGCTCAGCACACCAAAGGTTCCCGTTACAGTTTAAGCTACCTGTCCCTTATTTTTGTTTTGTACTTGAATAGAAGATTTGCAAATGCCGTTAAAGTGATACCCGGTGGGGGTTAAGTGTCATTTTGAAAGCCGGAGGTTGTCTTTGTGAGAGTACCGAGCTTTAGCCGTTCTCTGCAGTTTTAGCCCAGCGCTTATCCAGCTCTCACTAATTTTGATATGTTGGCAAAATTCTGTTAAGTAAAACTTAACTGAAGCCCTGTCCTCACACTCATGGGAAGGATGCCTGACAAATCAGATTTCTGTTGAATAGGGACTGATAGTGAAATGTTTCTGCCCTGCGAACAGCGGGCTGAACAGTTTTTTTTTATGTACCCACCGAAGAGAAGCGTCTGTGTTCCTTTTTGTCTTTCTCGTTAAGGAGTCCGTTTAATTGATCTACAGCATCACTGTGTTTGATGTTTATCTCTTTTTCCCCACAAAGACACTTGTTGTATATTAAAGAGGTGGTTTGATGTTTATTAGAACAGCTTTCTGGGTTTACAACGTTGGCCCTAGTAAGTTGTGATGAAGGGGTGTCTAGACTTTGGCTGCAATCTGTCCCTGGGCCAGACTTTGGACGTGCTTGCTGTATAGGCTCATCCTCATTAACTGATGCACAAATGGGGATATTCTTAAGTTACCCCTAGTAGGTGTCCAAGGGGGAAAGAGTTAAGCATGACTCGGGAAGGTCTGAAGTACCATCTTAATGGTCGTACCCGAGTGTGCTGACTTTGGCTTTTTTCTTCTTTTTTTGCCCTCTTTCAGGAAAGTGTCGTGGTCTGCGTACTGCCAGAAAGCTCCGCAATCACCGGCGTGAGCAGAAATGGCACGACAAACAGTACAAGAAGGCCCACCTGGGCACTGCCCTGAAGGCTAACCCCTTCGGAGGAGCCTCTCACGCCAAGGGGATCGTACTTGAGAAAGTGTAAGTATCACAACAGCAGCTAACACTTGTAATTTAGGAAGATATAAAGTAGTTTTTGGTCTTTTGAGTTCCTCTTTATTAAATCCATAATCAAGGGTGTTTGGGTTTAAGTTAAAGAGCTTTGTACTTTTCCTCTCTGTAGTGGTGTGGAGGCCAAGCAGCCCAACTCTGCCATTAGGAAGTGTGTGAGAGTTCAGCTCATCAAGAACGGCAAGAAGATCACCGCCTTCGTCCCCAATGACGGTTGCCTCAACTTCATTGAGGTAAACGGCAGTGGCGAGTTTATTCTTTAGAGGATTGTTTATGTAGATTCTACAACAGAAACATCGAGCCATCGTGTCCGCAATAATCCAGTTTATGTGGACTTGAGTGTCTGTGTCTATGAAATGTCTAAGTTGCAGTAAACTACGGATTTTAACTTGCTCCAGTTTTTGATCTGTACGTGTATCTACAGATCTGATTGTAATTTTCTTTTGGGCCCTTAAAAGTTCTTAAATGTATAATTTAGCTCTGTTCTCAATTTTCGCTCTTCTAACCTCTTTTGTTTCTATTTCTTGACCTGCAGGAGAACGACGAGGTTCTGGTGGCAGGTTTCGGACGTAAGGGTCACGCCGTCGGTGACATTCCCGGAGTTCGTTTCAAGGTGGTCAAAGTGGCCAACGTGTCTCTGCTGGCACTCTACAAAGGCAAGAAGGAGAGACCAAGATCATAAACAGTCAACGAATAAAATAAAATAAACACATTTTCAATTACAGCCTGTTTGCTTTGTGTTTTCATTTCACTGTGTTTTTAAGGCACAGTGAGTTAAACTGATGTTTTTGTTACTGTTAAGCAGTGAATCATGCAAACTGTTTTTGCTTGAATTTCAGGTTAAACTACATCAATATTACCAGAAACTGGCTTACGTTTAACATTTAATTCAGGCCAATTATGTCAGTCTTTTCTGTATATATCCTCAAAATAAGGACTTCAAGTAATTTTGTAAGATCTCATTAATGTGAACAGTAGCAAAAACAAGTTTCACATGAACATATTTTTGCGGTTTGGTCGTCATTTTGCACTCACCCTTTCATGTGACGTAAATAATTTAAAATATGTGGGCGACTCAACATACAGTCATTAAGTACAGGGCTGGGATAATATAAAGATTCTGACACTGATTTTGAATGTAGACACAGTTATACCTGATCTCAGATCATAAGCTGGGTCATAATACTGTGGATCAAAAATAAGTGAAGACATACAGACCTGCCGTTGATGTAAAAAGAACATGTTTTTGGGTTATACTGAGCAAAGTCTTCCAGTGGTTTATCCCCCAAAAGGAGCTTTTGAGTTCAGCAGAAGAAGAAAAAAATCTAAAAGTGCTGCACGTTTCACAAAATGATGGCATTTTGTGGCCCAACCTGTGTTATTATTATTTTTAAGTTTTAAACAGGTTTCCAGTTACTTTGGTACTACGAGTGTTACACAATTAATACAAACAAATCAAAGATATTTTAAGAAGTGAATTTAAAAATAAAAACTACACTTAAAGGTACTTGTTCTTTTAAAAATGGTATAAAAGCTGTTTCTATGACTTAATTTCCAAGGAGATAAACTAAAGCTGTATCTGTGCTGTCTGTGGTTTTAGTCTGATACCACTTTGTAACAGCAGATGCTGCAGTGAGTCTGTCATTTTTATTTAAGGAGGTCATTAAAAACACGTTCATTGATGGTGGTGCCCTGGAGAAATGAAATACCTCTTGAGAGAACGAGCTTCAAGCTAAAACAAATTTTTAAAAAAAGAAATGCCTAACAGTAACAGCTCATAACGTCTCAGTAAACACGGTGAAACGCTGCCCTCTGGTGGAAAAAGTTTGAATTACATTTTGCACTGATTAAAATAAATAAAAGTCACATCATGACACCAAGTCGTTTAAACTTCATGGATAACAAGTTGGATCCAGAAACCATTTTGAATCCATGACCACCGCTCTCTCCTTGTCCCTCCTGACTGCTTTGTCTAGTTTTGCTTTATGCTTGCGTCCTTGGCACTAATAGTGTGAGGTGGTGCCTGCAGGCTAGTCCAGCTCCTCCAGTGCCATCAGAAGGTTTACTCTGTCTTCCAGCTGAGTTTTAAGAGTGTGGAGGAGTTACAAGGAGAGCCGGACAGGGCCATAGAAGGTCATCAGCCCAGCAGTGGGACCGGTATCTGCTCCTTTGTGCCAGGTCCGAAAGCAGGAGCACTGCCAGAGCCCTACAAACTGACCTCCAGCTGACAACCTTTAGTGAGGTCTGTGCTCACAGCTCAGCGTCGTGAAGCTCGCCCGGCAGGTCCACAGCTGGAGTCCTGCCACAGTACCAGATATTTGCTCTAAACAATTTGAAGAACACAGCTTAGAACATTTTCTTTAAAAAAAATAAAAAAAGGCAAATCTGAGGTGTGTGTTGGGCTTTTTTAAACTGGGATAATTTGATAACAAAATTCAGGCAAACTCTGATGATTGTGTCAACGCTTTCTTTTTTAATTCTAAATTGTCAACAAAATCAGGCAGACGAGCTGACAATGAGAAGCAGACACCAAACAGACTGGAGGGTGGAGGTGTGTCAGGGTAAACAGCTCTAACCACCCTGCAGTGTCACGCTGTCTGTCTACAGCAGGTAAATATAGTAACTGGTGTCAGATCCCTGTCCTCTCAGCCAGAGTGTTGTAGCTGCACAGAGGAAACATGACAGGCCCTGAGCCTGAGCTTTGCAGGATTGTCACACATGTGAGACGTCTCTGATGCAGATGTGTTAATCTGGTGAGTAAATCGCATGTGTGTATTTGGAGTCATGCTGTATGAACATATATTGTTGAAGGACACAGAAGCTGTGGAGCTTTGTCGAGAGAACCCGTGTGGACATAAAGCTCTGGTTTCACAGACCTCCTCCTTCTCCTTCTGCCAGCTTTCAGCAACAACAACTTTGAATCTGCAGGGACTCAGCCAACCCAACACCAAAGCACAAGGTAAAGGAAACAGGTGACATCTGATCTGTCAGCTCACAAACCTACAATGAGATGATGGTTTTACTTTAAAGTTTTAAACTGGTCTGGTGAACTCAGGCCTCCTGTCTCCTGAACATCTTGCTTCACGCAGTAGTACACACTCAGTTCCAGGCTGTTGTTTCAACTCTTGGCTCTCTATGATGTCACAAAGAGCGGGCATCCTTAATATGCTCATCGCAGACACCTCAGCCCTCGTTCACCTGCTGTGGCTTTTAAACGTAACATTAATGAGGGGCAGCCAATCAGTAGAAACTTGGCTTAAAAGTGGGAAGAGCTAAAACAACTTGTTTCAGTCAGGTGATGACTGGAGGGGATGCACTAAGGCCAAGAAAAGGCTAAACAAAGATTATTTTGATCTGTGAGTGGAGTCCAGAAATAACAATGTGTCTGAAAATGAGCATAATGTGTTGAGTAGCACCAATTTTCAGCTCTCAGGTGACTCCGAAACAAACAAATAAAAAGGAAGGAAATCTGTGTTCCTGAGGACACAGAGGATTATTTTGAACTTTCAAGAACTTCCAGGAATAAAAACACAGACCTGGAACAATCACTCCACAGCACTTCCTGCTGCTTTTTGTTCTGAGTATTTTTCTTAGATAAGAACCTTTAATTTTAGACCACATCAGTGGTCCCAGCTTGTAGCTTTATGACTATAATGTTTTTTCTCCCATATTTTAACACTTTAGTCACTGAAACTCTGAATATTTTTTCTTGGAATATTAGCCTCCACAGCTCCAATATTATTTTCTTTTACCTGCAATGACCTCCAAAAAATTCCATTGTATCACGTCATTGAATCTCAGTACTCCTGGGCTCAGGCATATTTTTGCCTTTTACGAACAAAAAACAAAAACTGGGACTAACACAGGGTGAAGACAATAATAAAACATAAGACATTTAGCTGTGCCTCAGGTGGTAGAGTGGGTCATCTACCAATTGGAAGGTCAGTGGTTCAGTGGTTCCTCCAGCTGTGTACCAAAGTGTCCCTGTATAAGATGCTGAACCCTAAGTTGCCCTGATGCATTAATCAGACAATTAGAAAGCACTCAGGCATAGATAAAAGTGCTGTATGATCGGATGAATGAGCGCTCCAGTAAAAAGTGCATTGAGTGCTCCGCTGAGTAGAACGGTACTATATAAATACTATAAATTCCATTTAGCTCACAGACAGACAAAAGCAGGATTCTCAGAAGACAAAATCAATAATTAAACTGAACCTTGAGGCCAAACAAAACAAGAAAAATGAAAGGGAAAGCTGAGTTAAAACAACTTTTTGTGGAGAAAAACTCCAGATCAGCCACAGCAGTCGTACCATAAAATCACTGAGATTTATCAGTTTCTCCTTGTGCTGCCACATGCTGCATGAATAAGCAAGCATACAGCTGTTGCTGATAAACAGAAAGGTGAGTGTATGTGAAAGGTTAACACTGTGAAAAAGCTTTAGTTTGACAGTAGACAGATGGATGACCTTCAATAAAAGGTCCACAGCTTGAATCGAATCTTGTATGTTTTAAATGTAAATGATGATTGATTATTTTTTATTATTTTACAAAATCAAAGAGCAAAGTGTTTGCTTCTAAATTTCTTGCACTGGTTTCACAGATTAAGTAATCTGATTAAGTTCTCAGAAAAGTAAGCTAGATCCAAGGTCTGTTTAGAGCCATGGCCACAGGCTCGTCTGTCTGGAATGACCTGTGTAGGTTTCTTTCCATTAATATGAACATATGACCTCTTTAATTCAGCAGCCCGGTTTCAACATCAGGAAGTAGAAATTGACTAAATTCTGACCCGATTTAAATACGCAGGATTCACCTGGTCTGACCGCGATCATTTATTCTGGCATCATGGAGCTTGATCGGTTCGGCATTCACGATGAGGATGATGAAGATGATGCAGCCACTCAGTACATGATTGAACAGAGTCTGCTGGAGAGCAACAAGCAGAAGGAGATGCACAGAAACGCCACAACGCGGGAGGACAGGAGGTCAGTCCAGCAGATACCTGGAAAAATCAGATGTTTGCCATGTTTTAAGGAACTTGTTGTGCTCATATTCAGCTTCAGTTTTTTATTTTTGGAATCCTTAATATGCATGATTCACTCTTTAAAATAATACTGAACCATTGTGTAGCTCAGTTTGCTTTCTGTTTGAAACAAATTTGTTTAAGCAGCTTTCTTGTGATTGATATGTGGCCATATTCAAGATCTGCTCTCTTTGACATCACATAGCGCCAGTAAAAGAAAAAACAGATGGAAACTGAGTGTGGTGGGGTTTTTGTTTTGTTTTGTTCTGTCTTTTCTTTCCAGCAGCTCAGAATCTGCAGACATCAGCAAGATCTTCACTGCTATTAGACAAGGTGAGACAAGATGAACACTTCTGATTTTATTGTTAAATAATAAAAAATAAGCTAAAGCTTTGTTTTCTTTTTCAGAACTGGAATAAGAAAAATACTTTGACATAATGCAGTCTAGCATGTGACTGCTTGAACAACATCAGTGAGCTTAGTTCTTATGCTAAGAATTTGCATCTTCTTCCCTGGCACATAAAAAAAAACATGTGCCACCTCCTCTCCTCACCTCCTGCCTACAGGCCATCACCACTTGGATGACGCTCAATCAGCCCAGTCACAATAAAAGTCAAGTTATTCTCATTAGCTCTGAGGTTTCACTTTCCAACATACACCCTTTTGTTGTCTGTATGGATTGTTGTCAGGTCCATATTTCCCATAATGTTAAAAGTCTCTGAATCATCTTGTCTGCTGATCATTTTACACCTAACCATCCTATCCAGCTTCATGGACTCCCCATTCCCCAACATACCAAGTATCCACCTTTCAGTGATTTGGTTCCTGCATATCTTCATCTTTCTGTTTCCTACGCTCAGCTTCAGCTCTTCTCCTGACTCCTCCTTCTTGCTTCAGACCCAACACAACCTTCTGCACATTGTCTTTAGAACTTATTACCACTTATTACTTATTACCACTTACCATCTGTTTTTAATCATTTCTCCTGTATTTTAAACCTGTTTTAATACTGTCCTTGTTGTTAATTTGGTGCTGCAGATGACTTTGAGTGCTTTAAAGGCACCAGCATTGTTGTTTTGTTCTTCTTCTTCATTTTTCTTTCTATGAGGACATATATTTGTTGAACCACAGTATGCTTCACATAAAACAACAAAAAGTGGTTCTGATGTTTACATGCTGCAGACTGAGACTCTGTATGAATGTCCATCCCTGCAGGTAATGAGAAGCTCCTGAAGGATCTGTGTGTCAGACAGAAAGAGAGCTTTTCACTGGCAGACAGCAGAGGCTGGACGCCTCTCCACGAAGCAGCATCTCAGAGCAACCAGAGCATCCTGGAGCTCACGTACAAAGGTTTGTGTCGGCTTCAGTGTATCTGTGCAGATGTGTGGTAAGTGATGATGGCCTTTATTTAAACTAATCTGTCACCTGTTTTCCAGCTTCAGGCCCAGACTCAGTGAAGTGTTGCACGCTGCGAGGTCAGACTCCACTCTTCCTCGCAGTAGAACATGGTCTTATAGAAAATGCCTCCTTCCTCCTCAAACATGGAGCCAGCCCAGACATCCAGGATGACAACCAGGACTCGCCGCTATTTGTGGGTAAGATGCATGGCATTTCCAGACTTCAATACTAATATCTGACACCGATTCAGACATTAACTCACAGCTTTTTCTGTGATGTTTGTTGTTGTCCGATTCTGCCTGTCTGCAGCGATCCGCTTAGACCGCCTTGACTTGGTGAAGCTGCTGCTCCTGCGTGGCTCCAACGTGCACCAGGAGGGTTGCCATGGCCGTCGGCCCCTCCACGAGGCCTCACGGTTGGGCAGAATGGAGATGGTAAAGGTGCTGCTGGAGGCCGGAGCGAGGCCCGACCCCCGCAGCCACTATGGCCTCACGCCGCTGGCTCTAGCAGCTCAGGAAGGTCACCTAGAGGTGGTGCAGATTCTGCTGAAGAAAGGTGATAGAAGCTTCAACTACATAATGGTCCATTAGATGCTGGAAAGTCACTGTCAGAGTTAGATTCAGCCGAGAAAGAAACTAATCTTGGGTTAAAGAGAAGAAAACACACCATGGCTTTAAAAGCATGTTGCTTGTCCTGCAGGTGCTGACGTCTTCTCTCAGGCACAGGACGAGGCATCCATCATGTATGAAGCATCAGCGTCTGGTAATCCAGCCGTCATCAGCCTCCTGCTGGAATATGGTGCCGATGCCAACGTTGCCAAACACACGGGACACATGCCAATCCACCGTGTCGCTCACAGAGGACACCTGGAGTAAGTGTTCAAATGTCTTCTGAAAACATTTAATAAAGCATGCATTTATGATTATTTAAGCAAAAAACATCTCAGGGTTTCCACATTACAAAGAAATGCTGCTATAAATTATCATAGAAACCACACCTAAGATATAAATCCTTAAAACTATAGAAAAAGCACTGTCACCTCATTGTCTCATAATTGAAAAAACTAAAATAATTATTAATTCACAGAAAAACAAAAACAAGAAACACAGGAAAGTAGAACCAAACTCACATGAGACAAAAGACTATCAAAATAAGACAGGAAATAACACAGAGACAAGACTGGAGGGACAGAATGGGAACACCTAAGGGGGTTATCAAAAACATATTATCAACTGAAGCAATCAGGCAGCTAAAGGAACAGAAACGGGATCAACACAAACCCCAGGAATGTAAACAGAACACCATAAACAGAAGACTAAATAACACAGGATACAGAACCAAAATACAAGATTATGAAAAATACAAAACAAGACAATCCATAAACATCCCCAAAACTCATAAACCATGGGTCCAAGACCCAAGGGGGTAGTCTTATTTTACTCAGACTGAAGGTTAATGCAGTCATCAGCAACGGTCAGAGAACAGAACAAAAGGCATCCAACATCTAAAGAAGAACTCTTCTTCATATCAAATTCTGACTTTCAAGCTCATTGGAGTTGTACGAACAGAGTGTTTTACCATATTTGCATGTGTGTTTAGACATGTTTCAGTAAATCGCTGCACCTGTTTCCCATTTTAGCAGGTTATGGTAAAGAAGTGAGCGGTGGCTCAAGTCTTTTGCACACTATTTGAACTCGGCAAATAAATCAAAAAGCATGAAAAATGTGTATCTTTGTGTGTTTGCTGTCAGAGCTCTGCAACTACTGCTTCCTGTCACCTCTATGAGGGACATAAATGACAGTGGGATGAGTCCCCTTCACTCAGCTGCTGCAGGAGGACACACAAACTGCATCAAGGTGTGTGTGTGTGTGTTTATGGGTGTTTCTATAATCAATAAAAGTAGGTGTAAACAGCATGTGTTTGTTGCTCTACCATTTATATAGAGAGATTTCTCCTAAATGAGGGATTGTTGGTGACAATATAACAAAGCAACTTCATTTCATAGTGTGAAAAGTCTGGGTCTGTTGGGGCTAAATCATCATGTTAGAATGACTTCTTTTTATTACTCGTGCAAAAGTTCCCAGTTTAGATGTTCCCTCATCTTCAAACTCCTATCAGGTATTGCTGGACGCAGGGTACGACCCCAACTACATGCTCCACCCCTGGGTTCGCCGCAGCTACGATGATGAGAGGAAGTCAGCTCTCTTCTTTGCCGTCTCTAATAATGATATGCCGTCAGCAAAATTGCTGCTGGAGGCCGGAGCCATGACCAACCAGGACCCGGTCAAATGTCTGCAGGTACAAATGCAAGCACAGGTGCTGATCTCAGGGGTGGGGTGGGGGGCATGTGCCCTCCACATGCTTTTTTCTCAAATTAAAACATCAAAGAATACCAGCAGAATACCAGCGTGTGTTTATCATGTGGTTTCTTTACATTAGAAAAGGCATTTCCATCATAAATTTATGCAGAAAATGAACACATTTGCCAGAAATTTATGACACTGACTATCTGAGGATTAAAATTTCCTCCTGGGATGACACCCAGATATCTCACCTAATGTTCTTCCCTAATATGCAAGTAAAACCTCAGCTCGTGGATGTGGGCGTGGCTTCCTTAAAGGTTTGGTACAATGTCCTGAGCTGGGTGGTTGAATCTGGGTCTGTTCATCAGGAAAAAAAAACAATACCACTGTTTATGATTCAGCGTTCTGTTTTTTTTTAGGTTGCACTGCGCATGGGCAACTATGAGTTGATGGACCTGTTGCTGCAGTTCGGAGCCAACGTCAACTATTACGCCAGGATAAACACGACTCACTTCCCGTCAGCGCTGCAGTACGCTTTCAAAGACGAGGTGAGCCGCCGTCTTTATTCAGTACATCTCTACTGCAGATTCAACAGCTTCACTCATGTTATTGTGTTTTCATGTCATGTGTGTCAGGTGATTCTCAGGATGCTGTGTAACTATGGTTACAATGTGGAGCGCTGCTTTGACTGTCCCTATGGAAACAAACCCCACATCCCTGAAGACTATGAGGGATGGAGCGACAGCGTGATCAAAGACACCATGGTAATATAAAAGGTGACAAGTGGCTGTACATAAAACATGGAAGTAAAACCTGCATGTTTCTCTAGGTGAGCCAAGATATTTAAAAATCTCACCAACAAAATAGTCCTATGATCAGTCGAAGTCATCACCAGTGTTAAATGAGATAAAGGTTTCTGACACAACTTCACCTACTAGTTGTGAGAAGTTTATACACACATCATGGGAATGAATGCCATGGTAATTTCAAGCTTTTCATGATTTCTTTGAACTGTTGTTTTTCCAGGGTGGAATGATTGTACGGCATAAGTCTTTAATGACTTGCACAAGTTTGAATTCATTTTGGATTTTCTCTTATCCACACAGGGTCGAAGTGCACATACAGATTTGAAACTTAATGTTAACCCATTTCATCCATCCCAAAACCATTACTGTCCTTTTGGAAGACTCAATTATGTCCAAGTTTCAACCATCTAGCTCTGTATTAGAGATGGAGTTGAAGAGTGTGAAAGTATTTTTCCCTCTTTATTATTCTGTCCAACAGTCCCAAACCATAAAACCTTTCTCCACAAGGTATTTAGCTTGTCCATGTGGGTAGATACAAATTTCAGTTGAGCTTGAAAGTGTCAATTTTGGCGCAGGGGTTTCTTTCTTGGTTGACAACCTGTCAGCCCATAATTATTTAAAACTCACTTCACTGTGGTCAGTCACGCTAATGTTCTAGCAGTTTTCAGTTCATGGCAGTCTTGAGCCCAGGTGGGCAGCTTGTGTAGGGGAGAGCAGTGTACCATGACTTATGAGATGAATCATCAATTTGAAAATCATGAACACATTTAATGATGACTATTTAAATGACCATGATTTTTACAATCTACAGTAGTTAGTTAACACAATAAAACAAGTCTTTGAGCTTTTCATGTATTTTAAAACTGTTTTTTTTAGAGACCTGGAATGTAAATGTGCCTGTCTCTAAGCTACTTTGGTCAAGTTTTGTTAAATGAGCTCTAGACTAAATAAAAGAGACGTGACACTTTTCTCTAAAAGGACAGACATTTTAAGGTATATTTTAAAGTATACCCCACACATGTCGTTTTTAAGTGCTGTCTGCAATATATTGCTGATGACCTAAGGCAATAGGCTAAAACGCATGTCAATCAATAAAGTTGTTCTTTATACTACAAGCTGCTGGAACTTCAGCCTCTTTATCATCAGTGAAAACTCCAACCCCAAGCAACTACTAGGTCTATATGTAGATTTTTTCTTTGTTTAATTGTTCTCCAAGGACACATAAAACGATCAGGAACATGGTACTTTCCACAAAAAGCCAAATTTTCCTTTCTCCAGATCACAGGTTTAAGGTAATCATGACTCAGACTCAGAAGGCAAACCTTCTCCGTTTGTTTTCAGTGATAAAATAAAAGCTCTTCCGTTTGTCCGTCAGCGCAGTTCTGCGAGGTGATCACAGTTTCCTGGCTGAAACACCTGTCGGGCCACGTGGTTCGTGTCCTGTTGGACTACGTGGATCACGTGACCATGTGCTCCAAACTGAAGGCGGTTCTGATGGAGCAGAAGCAGTGGCCGGACATCTGCAGACTGCAAGGTGACTGAAATTAGATGTTGTCTCTTAGCTCAGAGGGAAAATCCTGAACTCACCGATGACCTTCACTTCCTCCGCTGCTCTCTCAGAAAACACCCGCTGCCTGCAGCATCTCTGCCGCCTGCGAATCCGCCGGAGCCTCGGCCGCCTCCGTCTCCGGTCCCAGGTCTTCATGAGCTTCGTGCCGCTGCCGGAGCGGCTGAAGGACTACATCCTGTACCGGGAGTACAACCTGCTGCGGGGCCGGTGGGGCGGCAATCCGGGCTGATAATTTAGAGGCTAAAAGAGGAGCGTGTTAGGCTGACATACAAATGTGTATATTTTTATTTCACAAAGAAAATGGGGGGAAATTAAGGAGCATGCAAAACATGTGTTTTTGGTAGCGTTCGCAAGACAGCTCGAAAAGATAGATTGATTGAAGGTCAAAGGCAACAATTAGGAAATGATACTGGTGTATTCTTAATATGACGTGTCACCTTTGACCTCTGACCTCACTCTTACATTTCACATCTGCCTTTTTTTCACCTTGACTCTAAAATGTGTTTTAAGAGAAAAAGTGAGTCTAGTTAGTTACAAATATAATGCAGAATAATATTATATAATAAGCTCGAGTTGTTCATGACAAGTCATTTACAAATCAATACAATCATCCATTACCAACTGATGCATAATGTTTTGTTTAATCATTTACATTTAAAAACAACAAACAAACTGAAGATGTAGAACATACTATACTATTCCCTTAAAAGTAAATACTGCCCCGAGAGCCAACTGTGCGAATATGTTATTGTACACATGCACATTTTTAAAATAAAACAAAACATTTGCAGATTTAAAAATACAAATAATAAAAAAAATTAATGTTTTCTACATCAAAGAAACAATAATGTATTATTAAGTCATTTTATAATTATTGTATTTAAGTTTACGTTAGAAAAAAATCAAGCACCATCTTGTTTTTGTAAGGTTATTTATTTTGGAAAACAACACGTGGTATCTGCTAAAGAAAGGTGTGATGCGGGTCCCCATTTCTTTACTGATGCTACACAGGTGTACAGTAAGGTTAGAGATCTGTAGGCTATTGTATTGATAAAACAGCAGTTTCCACAGTGTTTTTAATTAGTTTTAATATTTTTGAATATCCAAATAATGTGCGGGACTATACAAACACATTACCACATGTCCTGGATATTTACGTTATAATAGCCCGTCAATATAAGATTACATGTTTTATACACATATTGCTTCAGATTGTTAAGTGTAAATGTATAAAATGTGATGTAACAGTATAAAATTGATGTCAGTATTCAACATGGTGATTTATGACAATGACAGCAAAAATAAACATAATAATGCTGCAATTTGAAAATCTGGTGAAATAAACTGAGTCAGAGATTATATTTTGAAAGGTTTGAGAAAAGACTTGATAAAAACTTTCCATAGCGGTCTGAGGTTGGCTGAAGGACCTTATGTAACAGCAGATGTGGAGTAGAGGTGACAGGATGTCTCAGAGGTCACAGAGACCAGCACCTGGGATAACCCCTGCTGAGGTGCTTTGGTGAGAAAAGTCTCTCACTTCAGTTAAGAGATTTTTTTCCCCCGCTTTTTTTGGAAATTCTATGTCACACCAGGAAAAAAAAAAAAAGTCTCATCTAAAGACTGCTGCTGAGTTTGAAGCATCAACACAGGTTTAACTGTAGAAGTTTGGCTGCACAGCTTCTGGACCTGAGAAGTTAAGACAAAGTACCCTAAAACTAAAGCTGTATTATGTTTAATGGCCAGCAGACTTTCCAGCAATCAGTGTAAGTTTCAAGTTTAAAACTTGATTAACACAAAATGATGTTTATTGAATAAATAATGGTATCATCCGGAGTAAAATTGCCTTAAAGCGGGATAAATTATTTTGGCCCATTCTCTGTAAACCCTGCAGATAAGAAGTTTCTGAAATACTGTCTAGCATCAATAACTATACCATGTTCAAAATCATTTACATCACCTTCAGTGGGTAGTCTGGAGCATGTCTACATGCCTCTGGCTGGTTAGCGGCTAAACAGGTGTACCTAATTAAGTATGTAAATGGAGAAATCTTGCTTTCAGTTGTGGTACATTTGTTTTTTCGGGGAGAGGGTCTCTGATGTTTGCAGAATTTGAAGGTTTCTGTCGTTTCTCCATTTCATGCCTTCTTACCCGCTCTGCCCTTCTGCCTGTGACCTGAAAATCTATCTCAAGTACATGATTTTAAAGCAAGTTTTAGCTTCTAAAGTGCACCAACAGAAGACGCACAGGTGCATCTTTTGCTGGAGTGTTTTTACCCTCCATGTTTATAAGAGTAGTGGCACAGTTGGAATGTACAAAGCATGATGAAAGGAGGACTCTTACCCTGCATTTTATTCTACTTACAAATTTAATTAAAAGCAGGGCTAAATATAAGAGTTATATAGGAACATTGTTGCACTCACACACTGTAGTTGGGCTGCACTAAACACCATTATTTGACATAATTTTAAAAAGAGCTTCAAAGTAAGGAATTCGCTTCACTAGGACAATTAAAGGAAACTCCAAGTGTTGTAGCAAGGTGTTAGGCCTTACTGTAGTTGTGGAGATTTTTCCTTTAATTTGTCAATTTTGTGTGTAAGACAGACAGAATATTGCTTTTCAGCCTGCCCAATTCTCTATTTTCCATGACTATCAACAGACTCAGCCACTAAAGCTTTTCATTAAATCCCCACTTTTGATTGTTTTTCTTTTTTGGGTCTCATTTATTTAAAGCACCTGTTGCCTCAACCCCTGTTTTCTTTTTACTCTTCCTCCCCTGCTTTCAAGTCCAGGCGGAGGAAATAAGATTTGAGAGGATGAATTGTGGATAAACTGTGACTGGAGGGCATTAAAGTGTGTTTGTTTAGTTGGATCCTGGTCCCAAATGCCCAGAGGTGATTTTTTTCCTTGATTGTTCACTCTGAACTCAGACACTGGATGACATGAGTGAGTCTTTACTTTACTGAGTCTTTTAATTCTGTCACACCGCCCCCCCACCCCTCCCCGACTGTGCTTTCAAGAATCACAACACAAGCCCAAAAGCTTCTGGAAAGATTTAATCTCACTTAGTTTCACTGTTCTAAACAAACAGTCAGGACGATGGCAGAGGCAGAGAATGCTGCTAAACAAGTCCGATCAATCACTGAGGCTAATATCCATGATGAAATCTCATGATCTGAGAGGACGCGTGGACCCATCGCCCCTTGAGACTCAGAGACGACTGGAACGAGGGCGGTCTGATGTGGTGGTGAAAACAGACTCAAACAGGAGGGCGTTAATGTGCATGCAGTTCTTCACCAGCTCCCTTAACATGAAGTGAAACAAACCAAAGATGGCTCTGACGCTCACACACACACACACACACCTGAGTGTCCCACAAACAGCTCAGGAGCTCAGCGAGCCGACTCAAGTCTGAAATCTGGTAAATAAATCAGACTTCAGCTGGCTCCAAAAACACTGTTAACAATGCTCCCAACGTCTCTCACACACACACACACACACACACACACACACACACACACACACACACACACACACAATGTCTCAGAGTCACTAAATTTCTTTAAACTTTTATACATTGAGAGGGGGTGGGGGAGCCATGTAAAAGACAAGAACATGTACCCACAGATTTTAGGTAAAGGCAGGATAAAAAAATAAATTATCACCTTCATAAACCAAAAATACAATATTCATATTTGCGCTCTCTCTCTCTCTCTCTCTCTCTTTCCAGCTCCTGGGGTTAAGTTCCTGTGGCTGTCCAGCAGGGGGCAGTGCTGCATCAAGCCCAGCCTCAGGTACCAGTTGGAGAGACATAAATGGACAAATACAATTGGCTATCGGTAGCCCAATCAGAGGGAATATATATATATATATATTATTTTTGAGACAGAGCTGGGTGATAATTCAGTGTTTTCATCTATAAAAATATTTTTTATAGAATAAAAGCTTCAAAAATAAAAGTTGAAAAAAAAAAAAGAGCTCAATGAACATGAATTTAATACTTCTGTGTGATTTTGCCTGTTTTCTGTGTTATGAAATACAGAAGGGTGACAAATTAAAGGACAACCTCACCAAATCTCACTCACCAGATCTTGTAGGTGTGCATATTTTTCCTTTTATCTGTCACTCATCTGTGTATAATATATGCTGAATATGGTTATTCAGCCACACCACCCAGCCCTAACTTAAAGAATTAGGCTGTTGTTATTCTTTATTTTTCATTATTGTCAACAAATTAGCGAGATTTGTGAAGTTTCTCTTTTTAGAGCAACCAAGCCCATGAGCATTCGTTTTTTATTTTGCTTTAGCATGTTCAGGCCATCTTAAGTGTTATGTGTTATGAGTAGAAGTTCAAGTCTTGACCCCTTACACACAAGACTTGACCCTGTGGGGACATCATTTTAGGCAATCAAAAGGTCGTAGGTTCGTATTTAAAACATCAATGAAAAGTTCTTAAAATAAGGAATCAGCAACCCCATCATCTGAGGAAGCTCAAGAATAGCCACTAAACTACTACTATTCCCACATTTACTATGTTTTTAAGGGGAAGCGTGCAGACACTTGAGTTTCTTCTAAATGTTATTAATGTAACTGGTGTAAACAGCGCTCTTGCTGGGGACGACTCATTTCTAGCTGTAGCTGCAAGGGTGTCAAACATGCAGCCCAGAGGCCAGAACAAGCCCGCCAGAAGGCGCAATCTACCCCAATTTTACTGTTTTTCCATTGAAACGATAAATAAATCATCTACTCCTGGAGTTCTGATGACATGATGTCTGGAAAGTGAAAAATATGTTGTTTTGTTTATAAAAAAAATAAAATCTCTAAAACTTTTTTGTGTAAAGAAATCAAATTTTAAAACCAAAAATCACTAAAACATCTCATCTGTTGTCAGAATTGACTTCTTTTGCACTTAAAAAAAGGGGGGGGGGGCTGCAGAAGTGTCTTAAATGTATGGTCTAAACAGTCTGGCCCCAGTTGAGATCAAACTGGGCATTATGTGACCCATGAACTAAAATGAGTTTGACACACCTGCTGTTGTGAGTATCTACAGGATAAGGAAGGTGTGTCTCAGTGTTTTGGGTATTTTTTTCATGACATTTGTTGACAATAATAAATTAAGAATACAGATCTGAAGCACCCTTTCAGACACTCACAGACGGAGCGAAAGTCCTGTATGTGACTTTCTTAGCGCTCAACAGAATAACTTAAACAGCTCTGACATGTAGAGGTCTCAGTTTATATAATGTAGTAAGGTTAAAGAGGGCCAGGAACAGCTTTCTCAGCAGTGCTCACAGATGCACAGAGACGCTGCTCTTATGGAAGACGGCAGTTCAAAGTGCGATTACACTGCTCACAATACTGGGTTTTTCTATGATGCAGTAAACATTGTGTTGTACTTTTAGCTCTCGCCATCATTCTAGAGGGAGTGTTGTAAAGAAACCGTGAGGAACACTCATGTTAAAGCGACACGTGTCTGAAAGGGGCTCAAGCATCACCAACACCAGATTTGGAAAAGTGACACTTATGCTTCCAATAACCCCGAGGATGATTTCACAGGACACCGACTACTCGTGTTTTTCCTGATTCAATCTCCAAAAAAACAAAAACAAAACAAAAATTAAAAGAAAAACAAAAAAATGGCCATACAACATTTTGAAATGCATCTATGCTCTCTCCCTGAAGCCTACTTCTATGTCTCTTTTATTTGGGGGGGAGTTTGCCATCTATTGCTTTCACAGATTCTTGGGTGTTTTTCTGAGCATGAGTTCTGTTCACCTGTCTAGATTTGGTTTCTGTAGAGAAAGAGTGAGGACAAAAAGGTGATGGGAGGTCAGGGAGTGAGGGAAAAAATGTGTTCAGTGGGAGGTCTGTGGGATTCAGCTGATTGACCAATCAGACAGGACGCTGTGTCCTGGGACGCTGTCAAAAAGCTCCAAAGACAACTGTTCCCAGGATGTGTGTCTGTGAGCGTGTGTGTCCCTCTATCTTTGTGAGGACATCCTTCACATTTTGTTATGGTTAAAGAGCAACTGGTTTATTATTTCACTGTGCAGAACGTGTGAGAAGGCAGTTTCAAAACTGAAAGGAGGAAAGAGGAACGTTTCTCGTGTTCAGGGGTGTCAAACATCTGTTCCGCACAGAGGATGGACTGCCGTTTAGCTCCAAAATCCTCTACATATGAAGGTTGTGTGTTTAAAAAATACTGTTAAACTGTAATGCAAATGTAATGTCAAGAAAGACGAAAAACTGATACACACTGTTTAAATTGGACTTATTGTTTAGCTGTAAATGCACGCTTTGAAAAATGTGAGATCAAACTGGGTTGTGCGAACTAAAATGAGTTTGATGCTCCTGCTCTAGTTTCCAGATTTGTACCAAAGGACATTAAGTACTCCGCTCTGATCTGGTTTTACCTGTTGCCCCTTTTTTGTTTTTCAAACTAGTTCACTTACAGATTTTAGGCGAACACAGAGAAACCGTCCTCTTCCAACTATGCACACTCATCATTCTGAAAGTGATGGTAAAATAAACAAAGCTCTATTCAGACTGGACTGTTCTGTAATTTGAATCTTTCCCAGAAAGACGTTCCTGTATTTTAAAGTGGATCTCATCCACAACTTCATTCCTTTTAACTTATTTTTAGCCTCCTGAATGACTGAAATGAGAGACATGTTCCTGCTGACAGAAACTTGTGAATGTCTTAAATCTCTCCATCAGGAGAAAGCTCAGGAGGTGCTCCACCACATCCTGTAATTTCAGAATGATTAAAATGGTGCCCAGAAAGACAAAAGTTACTTTAAAGATGAGCATGGCGACTACAGGGTTGTCATTTAGCTGTGGTTACGTTCAGGGAATGCATTATGTCAAAGGTCCTCACAAGAATAGAAGCACAAGCTGTGAGTGTATCTGTTGGTTCTCCGTATCATCTTTAATTGGCAGCCATTTTGGCTCCAATGTCCCACTTCCCTGCAGTTGCACGGCAATGTCCTGGAGAATCATGTTCCATATTTACAGCCGATTGTTGCTGGAAACACGGCTAGACAAACTGCACTGACAGCACAACCTGAACTATCTCACAACCAGCTGTGTGTGTGCATATATGTGTGTGTGTGTGCGTGCATGCGTGTCTGTCTATGTGTGTGTGTCTATCTTTGTGAGGACCAGTTATACTTTGGGTGTGAGGCTGGTCCGCACTGTGAGACAAACCTTCTCAGGTCCTCACAAAGATACAGAAGTGAGTGATGGAGCTACAGGTTGTCCTCCCGCAGGCTTTCCAGGATCTGGACAAGGCTCTCCAGTCCAAACATGTAGCCCCTGTCTGGCCCATCATGTACGGCTGTGTCGCCGCGGAAACCCTTGAAGGTGGAGTGGGCGAAGTCGATCATGCGAACGTCCACCAAGGGGGGCTGCTGGGGCAGGGGAGCGGGAGAGGGGAAGGAACCTAAACTGGGAGCCGAGGAGGTGGATTCTGGATGAGGATGAGGCGATGGGGGGCGTGGGAGGAAGGAGTGGCAGTCTGACTTAGGGGGCGGGGCTTGTGTGGGAGGATGAGGGGAAGGTGATGGGGAGGCCGGAGCCATCAGTCCAGACCCCTGAGAGGGCAGGGATCCTGTGTCTGGCTTCTGGCTCATGTCCGTTTCACAGGGTGCATCGGGGGCCGGGCCACAGTGGGACTCTGTGGGTGACACGGAGGTCTTCGGTTGCCAGACAGAGGAACTCTCGGGTTCCTACAGACGAAAAAAAAAAAAAAAAAAAAAAAAAAAAATCGGGTCAAACAAAGGGAATCAGTTGGAATCAGAACACTTCCAAAATCAAAAAAAATTTAGAAGTATAAAAATAGTTATTTCAACATCAGGCGCACCTTTCCCTCATAGATGATGAGCAGCGAGGAAGAGTAGAAGCGATAGGATGCCTGCCTCTCCAGCACCGCTTTCAGGGTGCGAAGCTTATCCAGGATTGGCTCAAAGAGGTCCCGCCTCAAGCCCTTTCCGTTGTGCAGGTACTGGTAGAGGGCCTGGCGGAAGCCTTCGATCGACAGGCCGCGGCCGTAGTACTTGTTCCTGCACAGGTAGTGACCGGTGTTCAGCTGGTACACCTGCAGGGACAGGTGGGCAACAGCTCAGTACAACGCGAGTCTGGATTAGATATTAACAGATGTTCCCTCTGATTCAATTTAATCATTATAGCTGGAAAAATATGCATACAACCATTTCTAATGTTTATTTACATATTTATTCCTTTCCCTCTAAATATTTCCACTAATTCGTGAAATTGTTAATATCATGATTATTATTAGTAGGACAATGAGAACTAGTGCTCTTTGTTGTCCTAATAACAGCAGACACGTGAGCTTATCTTGCAGAGGTGGTAGCAGATTGCGATGATATTGCACCCGCTTCTCCTGCAGCATTCGGTTTGTTGCGGGATCAAACAATAAACTAGTGTGTGTTTATCTTTTTGTTCAGGCCCCTGATGGACCACTGTTCTCATGTGTTCAGTGGTGCAAGTCATCCTTTGTACCTGCATGCCACACACTCTGACTCCCAGCGTCGCTGAGGTGCTTTGTTCGCATTTCCTTATCTGCCTGGCTGCCTTCTCCTCCGAGGCGTCGTCTCCGTGCTGTCGGGTGCCCATCTTCAGGTCCAGGATGCAGGGGTAAGAGAAGTGGTGCACCACGTTCTCTAACAACAGGAACTCTGGTTAAAAAGCTGCAGTTAAGGAGCCAACTGTCCTTGACCTCCACCCTTTTTTATGTTTGATCTCTTGTGCAAAAAGATCAAACAACTACTAAATCAAAAAAAAACCTAAATGTATGCAAACAAAATACTGTGCACAAACTCAACTGAAAGTTAACGTCAGTGGGATATGACTGACATTAAGAACCCACCCAGGAAGGGAGAGATTTCCTCTCCTTTCAATCTTGATTTTTCTTCTCCCCAACAGCGCCATTAATGATTAAAACTAAAACAAAGGCCTTCTGAAAACCTCACTCTTAACAAAAGAAAAGCCTGTCACACTTAAAGATGACAGGCCTGGGCGCTGATCATTTTGGTTATGCGAGTGCTGTTTGTGTCTGTACAGTAAATATGGAGAACCTCTGAGGTGACAGCAGCGTGCTGAATCTGCTTTGACAGAAGACAGATGGAGCTTGTTGAGGACAGAGTGTGTGCTGCTCATTCACTCCCCTCAGCGCTAATATCCAGACAGCTGCAGGCTGCTCTCTTTGAAGCTGCAGATCAAAACATGACCTCTAACCTGATAACCTCCAGCCCTCCTCTTTATTCCCACTCTGGTCTGCACAGACTCTCTCTCACATTTACATTCGGCGCTTCCCATTATCTGATGGCCCACAGCTGGTCATTTGTTGTGTGTCATTGTCCCTTTTCTTCTTTTCTACAATGTCTCTGATACATGAAGATGTAAAAAAACAAAAGTAAATCAGCATTTTAAAAATAAAAACAAAACAATAGGTAACAGGCAAAAAAGGTATTTGTGTAGAATGAATAGGTCACGTTCTCCATGTTTAACCAATCACCATCAAGACCCATCTGGGTAATTTTCAGGGATGCTAGGAAGTACTTCCTCTGGCAGACCTCTAAATCATGAGAAAGGTGCCTTTAAAAGCGTGACAATGTTATTCACTTCACCAATCAGTGTTTTTAATATGCTGTGATTGGTTAAATGTACCTTAAGGTACATTTATTAGCTTTTTTATCACCACTTAAATGTCAAGTAGTGCTTCCCACCTGTTGGTTTGACCACCCTGGATGGCCAGAAAAAACAACACTAGAAGAGTTTGGGTCACTGGGAGAAAATACGACATGAAATGAAACTTGAATGAAGTTGAATGAACATGAACATCAGTTTTCAGTTTTCATACCTGACCTCTGCTTCAATAAAACCTATTGTGGATCACAAATAACTGATAAAACTGCAAAAGCTATCATATCCAAAGAGTATGTTTGAGTTAGTAATGATGAGATGTAGAATGAGACATTTCATACATCCAACTTAAAAATAAACTATGCAGGCATCGATCATATGAAAAACTAACATACGGTATTTTGTCTTAATATAATTTTTTGTAATTTTTGTACACTGGTTTATTCCTATTTCCTATGATCATCTTTGAAAACTAGGGCCAATTACAATTTAATATAATGTCTTAATACACAGATCAGCAGGATAAACAGCAGGACCCTTGGTTACATGGTCAACACTTTTGGGGAAGGATACTGAAGAGCTTTCTGTCCTTGGACTCAGATCTCATGCGGCTGAGCTGCTGTTTGTGGCAGCGAAGGCTCCAGGGATTGTGGCTGATCTTCTCTGACGTCAAACCGCTGTTCCAGTCCAGCATCTGAAAGGGAACATCTGAGAGGACCTTTGGGTCGAGTCTCGGGCTCTTCAGCTCTGCCAGACTGCAGAGAGGAGAAAGAGGAGGAGAGGGGATCGTTAAAAGCACTGCAGGTGACCCTCTGCTCTGACTGCTGCATCTACTGTGGGTTTCAAGGGTATGTTATAAATGTGACCACTGGACTGTTTGATGCCAAATGACCCAATATAAATATAAACTACAAGTTTTCTTGTTATCTGCCTTCAGCTTCTCTCCTTTGTCGTCAAATTTATGACATAGATCAATAAAATATTTTCACACGAACCGTCCTACATCAAGTGAAATCAGTCCACGAGTTCATTGTCTCCTCGAGTATATCTTACTTATCCGAGGTCTCTGTGTCGTGCGCCTCCCTCCGATCGGGCCGCTCCTCCTTGTGTTCAGAGGTGGATGAGGAGCGATGCAGGCTGCGGCGGGAGTGTTTCCTCCTCGGCTGCTCCCTCTCTGGGGGGTCACGCTCCTCATGCTCGCCGGCTCCTCCCTCCATGTTGCTCTCCACATAGGGGTAGGCCACCAGGTTGATGTAACCGTCAGAGTCACCTTCAAAGCACACCAGCACCACACCTGAGAGGACGGAGCCAAACACAGAAAGGATGTTGGGAATTATTAAAAACATTTCAGAGCAGAAGAGAAAAAACAGACTACTGAAATACTCTGAAATGCCAAAGCAGAAACATTGCATTTTTAAAGGTCAGTATTTTTCGTACCAGCGACCCACAGAAGAGTCAAGCTGAGTCCAAAACAGATCCAGTTTTATTATTTTGTATGTATTTTTGTTTTTATTTTTTATTAATCTGTCAGAGAGATTTTATTAATCTCTCCATGATGTCATAAAAACCCAGGAGTAGAAAACGTCCTCAGGAGCATTTAGAGCAGTCTAAAACCTGAACTTTTGGCTCACAGGGATTTATTGTACATACAATAATGTCAGTATTTGAAACATTGGTAAAGTTTAATGTCAATATCTATCTATCCATCTATCAAAAAAAACCCCATATGCATCAAGATGTACAGAGTGCTTCTAAAATTTGATTAAACAACGATTTATGGATAAAATAAGCAGACAGTAATGTTTTTTGTATAACAGATGTACGTTTGAACATCTGTTATATTTAGCTTTATAAACAGACCAGAGCATGTCATCCCTGCCAAGCCAGACATTCAACATCATCCATCTTAGTCCTAATTTAATTTACCTGTCAGTTTGCTCATCAGTGGAGAAGCAAACCCCAAATATGAATTTCAAACTTCCCTCAACAGCACAGAGCGAGTTCTCCATCCTCAGAAAACTTCACCTCCTCCTTACCCGCATCATAAGAAGTAATTTGATTTGACGGTGCCAAGCTGCGGCGGATGAAACAACCTTGACAGATACAGAAAGTCGTGCCTGGGCAGCTGTCCGTCTGTCTGCTGTTATTTAATCAGCAGGACAATGGGTAGTGGGCAGACATCCAGAGATAAATTTAGACTCCTTACGGAGCACACTTGTCATGGCACTGGGAGCCAGAACACCAGCAGGGTGGACTAGTGGGAGTACAAGCCTCCGATCAACTGCAGTACAGAACCCTTGGAATACGTCCATCGTATCTCTTGTAAAGGAGCCAAGTGTGGCAGAGACGTGGATAACCGCAACAAGAAAAATTTGCAGAAATCTGTGGCATGGTTGTCCTGCCACTCCGCCCACAGAGCCAATCAGCAGCAGATGAAGCAGGAATGTGTTCAGTCCATGATGGCCAGAGACAAACACCGTCAGAGCCATCATGAAATCACACACTGGTTTGGTAAATCTCATTTTCAAGCATTGAGATAAGCATTTTCACTGATGCCGTTTTAGTGTTTTCAAACCAGATGTGACAAGTGAAGGGCGAGTCTGAATGTGAAACCACATGCTCAGTGGCTAATGAGTAGTCAATCACAAGTCACAAGCCAACTGACCGGATTATGTTCACACCATAAACAAATGTCTATGAAGATTGTTTGACACTGGACAGTGACCACTTTCTCCAAAGGCCCGTTCTGGTCTGCACATGAGTCCGACTAACACGTTCACACCTGCACAAGCAGACCACATCAAGAGGGTGAACAAACCTGAGCTCAATTTAAACAGACTAAATGCCACAGGAGTGAAGAGTGGAACATTCTCTTTATAATGTTGGTGCCTTATTTTTGGCCTGAGAGTAAGTCTTTTCTAAGGCATTCATATATTTGGTGTCTAAGAGAGTGTGAGTGCATGGCCTGCAGTCTAAAAAGTTTCTAAAAACTGCACGCAACTAGTGCCAAAAAACACAAAACAAAAAAAAAACAAAGGCTACAGATGCGACTTAATAGTTTTAGGGGCTTATGTCTGTTAAAACAAAAAAAGACAAATCACTGCAGTTTAAAAGAACACCTTTTCCAAAGCAGGAAATGCTTGGATGATGTCTCAATTAATAAGAGAATAGTATATAATCTGACCTGACTATGAGCTCAAACCTGCTAAGAGTCAGTAAGCAGTGCTCAACTGAGACGCTGCTGTTTAGTCTCGTCTGCCTTCCTTTTGGCAGACATTTTGATATCACAGAAATGAAACTAATGCTTCATACTGAAGCCTATGTTTCATTTGCGTTTTAGTGGTCTTTGACATTTGCTTGGGTCTGTTACTACAGCAAAATCAAGTAGAAACAGTCAGACTCTATGCCGGGTGACGATGAGCAGAGCAGCTAAAGCTCTCCTCTTCCATTAAACATCCGTACTTCCTTCCTTCTTTCCTGTCAGTCTGCCTCTCCATTCACCACCAAACATTAGAAAATAAGGAATATAGAGCATGAGTGTTTGATGCTGAACCATTGAGGGTTTAGCTCCCCTAAAAGAGACCTCACTGCTGTGAAATCAATAAAATTCAACTGTCTTTTACTACTGGCTTATTCAGGCTAACAGGAGGTTCGGGAAATGTCACAAAGACATTAAAAGACCTTTTCAGACCTCTTTGATGAGTTTTAAGAGTGCACACAGTTTTGCAGGGTACTGACTGCTAATACAGGGACTTATTTTAGATTTCCCAACTACAAACAGCAGTGCCTTACCCAAAACCTTACAGCTAGTGGTGTAGTGGTGCGGGAACTTTCAACGAGATTTTGTGCTTCTACACGCTTGTCTTTGAAACCTATAAACAATCTGCCATAGTTAATGTGACTTTACATTCACTCCATTTAATAATACAGTGCTTTCATTTTCTTTCACCACAGCAGCTTGTTAACTGATCTCATTAACTGATACCCTCATGCTGCTGTCATTGTTCGCTTCTCTCTCTATGTCTATGTTCAGGTCCACTGTATTTTGGATCCTGTACAGTTAGCATTCGGTGGGATGTGGCTACGCCTGGTTGCCTTTGGGATCGAGTATCAAGCAGGTTTTCCATGATTCGTTTATAGATATGACACAAAAAGATGTTTTCAAGATTAGAGTTTTATTGGCCCACAAAAGATAGGCAAACTAATTTAAATTAGTCGAAACTAAAGCTGTAAAATAAATGTAGTGGAGAACACTATAAGTCCCCCTTCTAAATTTGCTTTTGTGTTGTGCAGGTATCACTATAACAGAGAGAGAGCAAGAGAGAGCAGTGTAACTGAATACAACTAGTTTAAGTTTTTTCTTTATAGCTTTGTTGCTGTGGATCAGAGCAGCTGGAAAAAGAGTTTTTATATTTATACTTGCTGATCAGGTTACTGGAGAGAGGCCTCTAACCGGCTTTTAATCCTTTAAGTTTTTAACTCTTTCTTCCATGACGACGACAACATCACTTTACCTTTAATGATGAGTTTTGACACATCAGTATATATCAATAAAGATGTGCCGACCATGGGAACAGTTTCTGGGTTTTTCCAAAGGTACAAAGGCACAGACTAACCTCACCAACGTTTGATGCACACCCAGTCATTTTGTTTTATAAGCAGGCCTGAAATATGACAAAAACCTCCCACTTCATAAAAGAGGTTCAAGGGTTACTCTTCATTACTGTCAAGAGGTAAAGAGATAATAACATTTACAGCAGCAAGCACTGTTATTGTTGCTCTGAGAAAAATGTTTGTTTGTTTTGTTTTTGTTTTGTTTTTTTACCCCGGGTCGTGAGGTAGCAGCCTTGAATTTGCTGGGTGTGTCAGAGAAAAGAGGCTCCACCATTCCCATAAACTACAGGCTTTTCTCATTTCTGTAAATTGTTCCTCCTCATGTGCTCCAACCTACAACCAGAACACAATACACCATGATGACGGATGTCCTAATTCCTAAAAGCAGGGGAGGCCGGCTGGAGGAACAAAAAAAATTGAAAAGACACAGATGATCTGCCCTTCACTGTTTCTGTGTGAGGTTTATTATTGTGTTACATTGGAAATTGTTATGAATTTAATTAAATGTGGCCCTAAATATAAACATGTCACGCACACTGTCTGATATCATAAAGTCCTCGCCATCTCCGACAGGAGAGGACTAAGACCCAAAGAGAAACGCGATACGACAGCTGCTATGTTATCAACCAGTTATTTGCACATAAGCACTCTCTTGAGTCAGTTTGCTTAACAAAACTGATTGCTCGCTGAATAGGCAAACAGCCAGACAATTAATTTACTCATTTTATTTATTTATTTTTTTTAAACTGGCCATTGTTTATGTCAGTTACTGCCTGCATTTAAGCACATCCTATAATGGAGCTGTAGAAGTACATCTGACTATAAACCAACAACTCCAGCTATCTCCCGCCTGCTGCTCTGGTACCTGACATCAGTGAGCAGTCACCGACCTTTATACTCTGGAGTGAACTCTTTCATCTCAGGAGGCAGGGACTCGTAGAAGCGCTGCTCTCTGCTGATGAGAGGCTTACACACCGTGTGGTCATCATAACGCATCATACTGGTGTGACCGCCCACCTGAAAACACAAACACATGCAGAACACATACATAAAAAGAGCTAACAGGCAAAACAAAAAGCTAAATGTCTTAACAAAGAGACGATATTTACAACTGCTGCCTCTTTACAAGAATATTAAAAAAATATATTATTATACCACAATTATACCAGTAAGTGCTTTAAATTTACATGTAGTATGAACAACCTCTTAATATTTATGTTTCTGAATGTTTGGCAGTTTTCCTAATGCAAACATTCCTTTTTTAGATAAAGACTTTTCACCCACTGTTAGCACTCACCTGGTGTATAAAAGGCTCCAGTGGAACGCCTCCTGCTCGTGGTCGTAGTGAAGCCCCTCCCCCTGTGCCCGCCCCCTGTAGCTTGCTGTCCATGTTGTTGGTGTGAGGGAGGCACATGGCTCCTGGCGGACGCACCGCGCCTCCTCCTGTAGATAAGAGGGAGATTTAACCATGAGGAAACAGCCGAAAAGTCCTGAATTCCTGCTGTAGTTTCAATACTGATAAAGCGAATTAATTTATCTTTGGAGTAATAAAGTTTAATATTGCACTATATTGAATACTGAACTCCACATTTTTAAAAAAGTCATATTTTGCATATAAAAATGAGTTCCTTGTGATTTTTTCAGGACTGTCTCAGTAAAACCTAAAATGAAACTGCTTTGTGGAAAATCTGTACTTCATGTCCATCAGTTTGTACAAGTTTTTACATGTTTCATTAAGTCTACTGCTTTTGGTATACCGAGGAATTCCTGACTCAGAATTAGCCTTCAGAGGTGACTCCACATAACAGTAAATGCAACTGTGTTATTTGACAGAAGCTTTGTAATTGGTGACTTACAAAGCAAACATCCTACATGATAAAACTCATGCAGTTTTCTTTGGCAGGGAAGATGTTTCACTACCAGTATTTTACACAAGTAATAGGGTAAAAATATACATCTGCATAGTTGCATTTAAAATTACGAAGTTAAGTTTTAGAGTCATTCTTGTCAGCCAAAACCTTTCATAATTTTCTCACCTGGATGGGCCTTTTAATAACTGGCATCTGGCAAACTGGCCGTTTATGAGCTTATTAATTTTATTTTGTGGGGTGACCAGAACAACATCAACAAAAAAAACAAACAAACCATTCTCTTATAGTGTGCATTGTTACAGCATGTCCTTTCACCCTCTGTGGGAAGCCTGTCTCCCCTCTTAGAAAGCTGACAGATCGAAAGTGAGGTAACATTAGTTAATTACATAACAAGCGCAAACCTCTAAAGAGCTGACTATGAACCATTAGTTTAACTCTGAACAACACACTTTAGCCTCAGCTGTCTCTGGGCTGTGAGTTTACACGTGAATATAGCCAAGACTTGAAGTGACAGGAAATTTCAGTCAGACAACCTCTTTGTTATAAAATCTGTGTGTTATCTGTCCATGAAGCCAGATAACACACACCAATTAGTTAAACTGAAGGAATGTCTTAAAGACATAAAGACCTGGATGGCCGCTAACTTTCTGCTTCTTAATTCAGATAAAACTGAGGTTATTGTACTCGGCCCTGAAAAGCCTAG